GCTTCAGGCGCTGATGTGCCCATTGACGATCCTGTCGCCGCCGGCTGTTTCCAGGATGTTTCGCGTCCAAAATGCACGTCATTAATTTCCTGTTGTGCCGGGTCGGCCTTGTCCTGGATGTGGCGAGCGGAGCCGCTGTTCAAGATCCACGTCCGTGACGACGCTGCAGTGGGCCGTGTCGACGTGGTAGACTTGGTCGTGGGCGTTGCCGCCGACGCTGGCTGGCGCCGTGGTAAGTCTGGTCGGGGTGGTAAGGTCATCGTGCCACTAGTGCGCCTCGAGCTGGCAAGCTCGGGGCGCCTCGGCGCCGTCTTGCAGCCGCTTGTCCGGCAGCGGGTCGGGCGCAACAGCGGGGTTGCGCTCGTTGGCCACGGCGTGCAATTTGGCCAGTTGCCGTTTGGGCACAGGGCAGGCGATGACCTCGATATTGCCAAGGTCGAAACGTCGGCGCTGTGGTCGTTGATCTGTGATGATCAGAATCTTTTCGCGGATCGCGCGCGTTCGGCCCCGTCATCGAGCGCGTCGCGTCGCTGCGGGGGATCGATTCCTGCGGCGCGTCGGAGGTGGCCGCTTGCTGCTGCCGCTGCTGCTGCTGCTGCCGCTGCGCGCGAACGCCCTCGACTGCGACCGCGGCTGCCGCCGCGCGAAGGAGAGCGGAAGAACTGTTGCGGGCGCCGCGCCTCCCATCGCAAATCCGTCGGAATCTCAGAAATCCACCCGCGGTCCCCCGGGCTCCGTGGGCCCTGACACCCCCCGCGCGAGGGGCGTCGATTGCCCCCCCGCGCGTCCGGGGAGGGAGCGCGTCTGGTTATGGCAGTCCTGACTGCAGGCGCGGCTAGGGCTCCTCTTGGGGGTCTGAGTGTCAGACGCGATGCAGCGGCATTTGTTGCCGTGCTCGCAGCGTTTGCCTGGGTCGGCAAAGAAGCTGCACTTTGCGCCGCGAGGCCATCTGCGCCGGTCTTGTCGCGGGCAGGTGCCGTGTTATGCGATGGAAAAGATCTTGGCCGCTGCGTGCCTCGCCCCGCGGGGGGTCGTTTCTCGTGGGCGCCCGCGTCGGCCAGCGACGCGTGCCCGCGCGGTCGCGGCGTGGGGCGGCTGCCGGAGCCAGCGCGTAGCAGTTTGCGCCGTTCGCCGTTTTTGCAGCGACCTGCCCTGCATGCTGCGCGCGGCCAAATCGCGGCGAGTCGTCTCATTCTTGAGGTTGCGCCGGTTCTGTTCGAGTCGGCGCATCTCGACGTTGTCCAGCGCGCGTTCTCGTAGCCAATCGCACGCGCGAGTGGAGTTGCCCATCTTCATCTTATTGTTGTCACGCATGTCTTGCTTTATCCACGGGTGCCCGCGGATCTGAGCTCGGAGCAGTGACTCGAGCGTCTTCGCGTCCAGAGGATCACGGCACTCCAAAAGGATGTTGTTCCAATCCGCAATGAACCGCTGGAGATCGTCGCATCGCATGCGAATGAATTCGAGACGTTCGAAAACGCGCATGGCGTCGTCGACGTCCGTGAACTCGCAGGATTCTCATACAACCCAATAGATGCATCTATATTTCAGCGAGCGGCCTGCTTTATGTTCTGAGCTTTGAAGTTCTTCGTCCGGCAACGAAGCTCCGTCTTGAGAACAACCGAGAGTCCAGTGGCGAGCTTGCAATCGATGCCCTCGAAATCGCCGTTGTCTTGTAAGTCCCCCAATGTAGTGTCAGGCTGTTCGGCAGCGCAGAGGAATGTGCATGCCTTGCCAGGGGGCCCGGAGGCGCTGCCAACATTTTCCCTTGCCATTTGTTGCCGCTCCTGTAACTGAATAGCGCGTGGCAGTTGAGGAATGCGAGCAGTATCTGATTCCTTGATCTGGGCGGTGCCACACAGAGAATGCCGCGATGAATTCCGCGACGGGATCGGCGGCGTCGGCGATGACGCGCGCGCGGGAGATGCACGACGTGTCTGCGTTGAGGCTGCTGCAGTGGCAGCTCCTGGTGACGCGCGTCGCGGTTGTCCTGCGCGGATGTCTCCATCGGCGAGGGTCGGGGCACTGGGAGTTGCGAAGGGCAATGGATCTTGGAGTCGCTAACGTGAGCTTTCATTGTGGCCTCGGTGGTCGTGAGATCGTTATGCAACTGCTCGACGCTCGGTCGTAGACCGCGCACCTCGTCGTCGGTCCGTCGGCGTCGTGAGCTTGCCGGGGGCGCCGGCCCAGCCGGTGCCATGGGTCCTGGAATCATCGGTTGCGTGCTTCACGCTCTAATTCCTAACGGTTCCAGACGGGCGGGGGCCCCCTTCCGCCCGCGCCTTTCTCAGCGTCTCTTTTCTTGGGAGATCTGGGTGAGTCGCAACTGCGCGTGGCCAGCCGCCTTCCTTACCTCGGCCATCTCGGCAGCGGGGGCCAGCCGGCCAGTCTGGGCCCGCGCGATGCGCCACTCAACCAGCGCAGACTGCGCGTCGGGCAACTGCTGCTCGACCGCGGAGACTCGGCTCTCAAGCGCTGGCACGCGTCCCTCTGATGCATCAAGTCGCTGACCAGTAGCCATCTCAGCACTGCGAGGCTTGCCGCACAACTCGAACGTGACTGTGGCATTCTCGGGGTGGAGGTTGGCAGTGGTCACGCGAGCGCGACCGCGAAGCGCAGCGAGGTCATCGCGGAGCTGTTGATCCGCAGCCCCATGTACCTCAGTAGCTGGAGCCCGCCGCGTTGTCTGGAACTCGTCGCGCTGTGTCCTCACAGCAGCAGCGCCCGTGTCCCTGGCGCTCGCGAGTTGGGAACTTCGGCGAGACTCCGCGCGGTCGACTTGATGCTGGACCTGAGCGAGGGTTGATCGATCCTCGGCGATCCGAACGTCGACGAAAGCAAGGGCGTTGTGGAGCTCCTGCCTCAGAATTGCTGTCTGCGCAGCAAGACTTGGCAACTGCTGGGTCGTGTAAGTTTCAACCTGGTTTCGAAGCTCTGCCAAGTCGCTGGCCGAAGGCGATGCTTGCGGCGCGACGTCGCGCCGCAGGGAACTCTGCCGTGAGCGGTTCTGGGAGGGGCTGGGGCCGTTGTCCTTATTTTGAGTTTGGATACGATACCGCTCGGGGACTCTTCGCTGCGAGGTCCGTCCACTGCGATCTTCTATGACTCGCGCATGTTCTGAGACGGGAGCCACGGTGGGGCTTTTGAGACCCCGTGCGTCCCAGCGGCGGTGTCGCGCGGGAGCGCTCTGGGGAAACGTTTCGCTGGCTCCACCACCGCGAGTGTTTCCGCCGGCGAAGGCTGGAGGAGAAGGAACCGAGGCGAATCCAGCGGTGGCTTCGAGGGCAACCGCGGGCGTTTCCACCGGCGAGGGTTCCGAACTACAGGTGGCGCCAAGGGACATCATAGTCAACGGGGCGTTGTGTCCGAACCCTGGCGTGTGAAAAGGCGCGGGCGCGGGAGGCGTGTCGGAGTCCATGATGTCTCCGAATGCAGCCTCGAGCGCGTCGGCACTGCCGTCGCCAGAAAGGGGGGGCGCGGTATCGCCAGTCATGTTGCCCTCTCCGCAGCGTCGTGACGCCCGCGCTCCGTCGAAGACCCGGCGCGCATAAAAACGCTGGTCCCCGTGGGGTCCAGCGCCATGGGGCGGAGTCAAAGACGATGCGGGGTGTCACAACGGGGAACGAAATAAAATAGGCTGATAACCAGTGTGCGTAGGTTGGCGACCGAAGAGTCGAATCTACAAGGTTTCCCGTAGCTGAGGGAAAGTAAGGGACGGGGGGGTAGCGATCCCTTTTTCCAATGCGCCACGGACGGGCGGCGCTGTACTTGTTTCCAATACCTGAGCCGAGACGGCAACAGTATATACGGATGTAGTGAGGATATGAGCGGACTTCACACACAGCGACAGTGCGGCGACGGCGGCAGCACGGCGGCGGACCCGACAAACGAGCCCAACTCCTTAGAAGACAAGAGAGAAGCCCCGAGTGCAAGCACGATTGGGGAAATACATAAAACGAGAGAGAGAGAGAGAGCAAACAAAAGAAAAAGGGAGAGAGAAAGAGAGAGAAGCAGGGAGAACGAGAGAGAGAGAGAGAGAAAGGAAACGAAATGGACATCGAGGTGCGTTCCGTCAGCGCAGATTTTTCATTATCTTGGGCAGTCGTTACTCACCATGCTGTAAGAGCATGGCGCTGCACATGTGTAGACGAATCGGCCAGTCCCTCGCATCAAACAAATTAGACATTCATACATTCACACACATAATTAAGAGATATTGGACTTGGTCATTCGGGAAGATGGAGAGGTGCGACGAGGCTGGGATGGGTGGATGTCCACTACCCAACGCACGAACCTTGTCTGTGAAACCGTAGTGGGAAAGCAAGCAGACACACAGGCAAGTATGTCAAGGGGGCGACCGAAGCCAAAGGGGAGGACGTAAGGCAACGCACAAAAGCCATCACTCACACACATACTCACACACACACACTCACACACGCACGCTCACACGCACATCAAAGTACAACCAGCTGTTCAAGTGAAACGACTACGAGATGCGTGCCAACATATATACCACCTTGTGATGCAACGCGAACTGGACTGAACTCTCAGGGAGGGACGAGCATAACCGACCGCTTAGGGGCAAAGGTTAGGCGTCTGCAGGACAGAAAGGCTTGATAATGCAACGTAGACGCCAAGGCTAGGCGGGAGAGGGGCGGAGGGCGGACACTAACACACGCAAAGACACAAAGACACAAAGACACACAGACACACACGGACACGGACACACAGACACACAGACACACAGACACACAGACACACAGACACACAGACACAAAGACACACAGACACACAGACACACAACACACAACACACAACACACAACACACACACACACACGCACGCACACACACACACACACGCCAGAAGAACTACCCACAAAAGACATAATAACGTGGAGACACGATGCTGCTAGGCAACCTCAGACCTCGGGCCTGGTTGCTGGCCTCTGTGACCAGAGGTGAGGCCAGAACAACTGTAGGCTGCCACTGCCGCGCAGCCTGGTCGGAACCCCGGATGAAGGACTCGGGGGGCACGTCCTCGCGACGCGCGGGAGAGGGGCGAGGCCCTGCCCAGCCAAAACTGGGCCAGCATTTCCAAAGGGGAGGGCGGAAGGGGACGCCTTCCCAAAGCCCGGGGACAAGAGGAGGAGGACTCTAACGCCGCCCACAAGAGTACCCACGCGAAGAGACTAAGCAGGGCAGGCCGGAACGACCAGAAGCAAGCTAGACAGACGCGGCTGGAGGTAGCGGGGCTGGAAGGCACCATCCCGATGGACAAAATTAGCCGCAACTTCACTCAACACTGGTGTTCTGGACAGGCCAGTCCAAGTATCATTTTCAGCGGCAGCGAAAAAGGAATATATGAATTTGGAACGGCAATCGCCGCACACCCGACAGCGGTGTTGAATAACGCAGAATGCGGGCAACACGCCCGCATCTCTGCGCGCGAACGAGCAGATCCATCGGCATCGCCGGCAACCCTCTTCATCTCGTTCTCGTGAAAACTGCAATGCTGCGCCCATGCGTTCATATAGGAATGCGTTGCGCAGAAATCCCGATCAAATGATACCATGCGGGGGGGTCAACAAGAACACGTCGGATTTCTCACGAGTTCGAGACCTAACTGTTCAACAACTAACAAAACCATGCTGGCTGCGGCTGCAAAAGGAAGCGCTAATTTTGTGTGCGCACGCACTCGCTGGCATCACCCCGAAATCACATGTGTTATGACATTCTGTCACATGAAACCATGCGGGCCACACACGCGCTTGTCGAAAAAACATGCAACAACCATCACGAGCCCACATAATCTACAACATCATACTACACAGGCCACGCACGCGCCTCTCCGCGCGCACCTCGAACACTTTGTAAACTCGTTGGCTGGACGCGCTTCAACACAGCGGTGTCCAGCATAGACGAAAGCAAAATTGCTGCTGAGTCGAAATATGTCTGAAGCTACGCGGGCGCATTCGCCATCCTCTTCAGCGCGATCGTTGTTATCGTCCTCGTCAGCGTAATCGCTGTCATCGTCGTCATCATGATCACCAGCGTCGTCATCATCACCGCCGCCATCATCATCGTCATCGTCGACGACGTCGCCCTCGTCAAATGCTGAGCGCACACTTCCTCGTCATCTTCACCAACACCAACCTCATCACATCATCGCCAGCGTCTTCTTAAACACCGCCAACATCATCACCACCAACTTCTTTTCACCGCCGCCGTCATCGTCAAAATGAACTCCACTGTCATCATGCACATCACCATCGCAATCGTCATCGTCGCCACTCAGTTGAATGTTGCCAACAAGTTGCGGGTGGGTGGGTGGGATTTTTGCACGAACATTGGAGGTGGTCACGCGCGGATGCGGTCAAGCTCGATTCTCCTGTTCGGAACATCAGCCAGCGTAAAACTCCGAATTCGCCGACCCCAGAGGCGCGTAAGGAAAAGTGCGTGCTAGAGCCGCCAATCCTGAGCCTATCCTGTCTGCGTTCGACCCGGTCCCAAATTCCCCGCCCGCGCCCGACCCTGTCCCGGGGTTGAACCCGCTCCGACCATCACGGCGCCCTGAACCCACTCCGACCATCACGGCGCACATTTCCGGGCAGAAACCTACCCGCGCCCCGCGCCGCGCCACCGCGCCCCAGCGCCCACGCCCGCCAGAGCTCAATTCTCGGGGCCCACCACACCGCGCATTTCGCCCGAAACCTGCCCGCGCATCCCACCGCGCCTCTACCGCGCCCCCGCCACGTCTCGCCACGCCCGCTCCACGAGAGCCCCGTTTACCCCCCGCCGTCGACCTCGCCCGCATTCCCCGCCCGACGGGAGCTCTGTTCTCGGGGAACTCCACTGGGCCATGTCTCGCCCGACGACGCCCCGCCGCCTGCCCGCCGCCGTCGACCTCGCCCGCGCTCCCCGCCCCGCGGAAGCTCTGTCCTTGGGCCCCCCCCCACTCAACAATCCCTCGCCCGAAAACGCCCCGCCGCCGACCGCCGGCCGTCGACCTCGCCCGCAGACCCCACCGCGCGGCAGCTCTGTTCTTGGGGTCCCCCACTCGACCACCCCTCGCTCGAAAAGCGCCCCCCCCCCCCCCCCCCGACCTCGGCCGCGGCCCCCGCGCCGCGGAGCTCTGTTTTGGGGCCCCGCGCTCGACAATTCTTCGACCGACAACGCTCCGCCGCCTACTTCCCGCCGCCGGCCTCGCCAGCAATCCCAACCCCGCGGGGGCCCTGTTCTTGGGGTCCTCGCGCGACAATTTCTCGACCGACAACGTCGCGCCGCCCGCCCCCCGCCGTCGACCTCGCCCGCGTTCTCCGCCGCGCCGGGGCTTTGTTCTTGACGCCCCCCCACGCTCGACAATGACTCGCTTGGCCTCGCCCCGCCGCCCGCCCCCCCGCCGTCGACCTCGCCCGCAACCCCTAACCCGTGGGGGCCCTGCCCCGGGCCCCCCCCCCCACCGGGGGCGCCTCGGGGCCGAGCGCCTGACATGGGAATCCGCCGACCCTACAGGCGCGCGCGACTCAGTGGTCAACCTGACCTGACAAGAACGGGAAGCGAATGTTCGAACGTTCGTTGCAGGTGTGGCATCACATGGGGACGTCAAAACTGGAACGCTTGTGCGAACAGGAGGGGACTGCGCGGTGCCCGAGTGTCAAGGATCCCTCGAAAATATACGACGCTCGCGCTCCCGAGGCGCAGATCCCTCGTAAAGTACACGCGATACGCGCCGCCGAGGCCACGACCCATTGCAAAGTACTCTGGGTTCATGCCTCGGCGACCAGGACCCACAGAAAAGCAGCCAGACTCACGCCCTGGGACCGCTATTACTTGTATTGTGCGCAAGCGGTCAGTTACCACGCGGCCCCCGCGTCCACCTTCAAGATCCCGAGCTATCCGCCGTCCCCTTGGGGTTCGGTCCGGCTGGCTTGCAGGGGGGGGGGATCTGGTCAAACGGACTAGATCCCTCACCCCTCACAGGAATTCCCAGGATGCCTCCGGCCGTCTCCGGCCACTCCATGATGCTCCAAGACGGCCCATTATATTTTGAATACGACCGGCGATAACCCCAAGACGGTCCAAGAAGCCTGTAACATGAAGCCCTCTTGGATCCCTCTGGCGCCGTTTTCGGGCCCTCTTGAGCTGTCTTGGGGCTGTGTAAGCCGAATTCGGGATAAGGAGATGGAATATCGAAGACGCCTACGGCGAATCACCGCCGCCCCCTGCCTTTTTGGAAACGCCGATGTGGCCGAAAGTTGGACTAGAGCTTGGCCAAGCTATCGGACCATGAGTTCCCCGAGTCGGTTTGGAAAGCTTTCGGGGAACACATGGGAGAGAATGATTATGAACAGGAAGAGGAAGAGGAAGAAATAGAGTAGGAGGATGAGGGTTGTTAGGAGTCTCTTGGGGCACCCTTGGGGTCTGTTGGGGGCTTCTTGGGGGCCTCTTCGAGGCCTCTTGGAGGCATCTTGGGGGCCTCCTTGGGCCTCTTGGGGGCCTTTGGGGGCTTCCTGGGGGTCTCTTTGGCCGTCTTAGGGCGTTCCTGGTCCGTCTGACGCCGTCTGGAGCCGTCTTGGGGGCCTCTCTGGGCCGTCTTGGGGCCCTCTTGGGGCGCTTCAGGGCCGTCTTGGAGGCCATGTTGGGCGTCTTGGAGGCCTCTTGGGCCGTCTTGGGGCGCTCTTGGGGCCGTCTTGGGGGGCCCTTGGGCCGTCATAGGGCCTTCTTGGAGGCCTCTTGGGCGATCTTGGGGGCCTCTTGGGCCGTCGGAAGGCCGAAAAGAAGAAAACGCAAAAAACCTTCAAAAACCTAAGGAAAACAAATGATTTTGGCCTCTTCGGGCTCTCCTGGAGAACGTCTTGGAGGCCTCTTGGGCCATCTTGGAGGCATCTTGGGGCCATCTTGGCCGTCTTGGAGGGCATCTTGGGCCGTCTTGGAGGCATCTTGGAGCCATCTTACCCGTCTTGGAGGCCATCTTGGCCGTCTGGGAGGCATCTTGGAGGCCATCTTGGGCCATCTTGGCCGTCTTGGAGGCCATCTTGGAGCCGTCTGGGGCAGGAAATTGGGGAATTGAGGTCCTGGAAGGGTGGCCGGCGGGACGGGCCGAAGCCCACTGGGGAGTTCTTTTAGAAAAAGAACCAAAACCAAAACCTGAAACATCCAGCACGCCGTGCACCCCTGCAAGCAGGGGGCGGCGGATCTAGTGACCCTCGGTCCATCCCGCCACCGTGCCGGGGCATTGAGAATGAGACGAAGTGAAAGTTCGTTGGGCTCTCTTGGGAGGCTTCTCGCAGGCCGTTTCGGGTCCTCTTGGGGCCTCTGTGGGGCCTCTTGGGGGCATTTTGGGGCGTCTTGGGGGCCTCTCGGGGGCCTCTTGGGACCTCTTGGGCGCCTCCTGGGGCCTCCTAGGGCCGTCCTTGGGCGGGGTGTTCCGATTTTCGATTCGGGCTCACCCTCTTGGGCCCCTCTTGGGGCCCTCGTGGGCCTTCTTGGGAGCCTCTTGGGCCGTCTTGGCGCCCTCTTCGGCCGTCTTGGGCGCCTCTTGAGAGTCTCTTGGGCCGTCGCGGGTGGGTCTTGGGGGACTCTTGGACCATCTTCGACGTCGTGAAGACGAGAAAGTCGTATATACTAAAAATATTGGTTTTCCGATAGGGATTTGACGATTTTGGCATCTTGGGCCCTCTTGGGGGTGTTCTTGGAGGCCTCTGGGGCCGTCATGCGGGCCCCCTGGAGCCGTCCTGTGGCCTTCTGGGGACCCTCTTGGGCGATCCAAGAGCGATCTGAACACAAAGGCGGCCTGGAGCCAACGCCAACTTCATTTTTTAGAGGATGTCCCGAGCGAAGCGGCCAATTTAGAAACCTGACCGGACAAGAACGGGAAGCGTCCTTTTGTCCCCTGGGCTTATGAGATATTCCACGTTTTTAGTACGGCATACCACAGCAGTGCCACGTACCACTGCCGTGCTCCTTTGGGGTCTGCCGTGCTCCTGTGGAGTTTGCCGTGCGAACGTGTGGTCTGCCGTGCTCCTGTGTGGTCTGGCGTGCTCCTGTATGGTCTGCCGTGCTCTTGTGTGGTTTGCCGTGCTCCTGTGTGGTCTGCCGTGCTCCCGTGGGGTCTGCCGTGTCCTGTGTGGTCTGCCGTGCTCCTGTGTGGTCTGCCGTGCTCCTGTGTGGTCTGCCGTGCTCCTTCTTGGTCTGCCGTGCTCATGTGGGGTCTGCCGTGCTCCTGTGCGGTCTGCCGTGCGAACGTGTGGACTGCCGTGCTCATTTGGGTCTGCCTTGCTCCTTTGTGGTTTGCCGCGCTCCTGTGTGGTCTGCCGTGCTCCTGTGTGGTCAGCCGTGCTCCTGAGGCGTCTACGGTGCTCTTTTGGGGGGTCTGTGGTCGGCCGTGCTCATTTGGGGTCTGCCGCGCGCCTGTGAGATCTGCCGTGCTCCTGTTGGGGAAACGCCAGCGGCGTTCGGGGTACAACAAAAAGGCGCGTTTATGTTGTACCCGCGCGCGGTCTGCCGTGCTCCTGTGGGTTCCGCCGTGCTCCTGTGGCGTCTGCCGTGCTCCTGTGGCGTCTGCCGGGCTCCTGTGTGGTCTGCCGTGCTCCTTTGTGGTCTGCCGTGCTCCTGTGGAGTCTGCCGTGCTCCTGTGTGGTCTGCCGTGCTCTTGTGGTCTGCCGTGCTCATTTGGGATTTGCCGTGCTCATGTGGGGTCTGCCGTACTCCTGTGTGGTCTGCCGTGCTCCGGTGGTCTGCCGTGCTCCTTTGGGGTCTGCCTTGCTACTGTGGGGTCTGCCGTGCTCCTGTGTGGTCTGCCGTGCTCCTGTGGTTTGCCTTGCTCCTGTGTGGTCTGCCGTGCTCCTTTTGGGTCTGCTCTGCCGTGCTCCTGTGGGGTCTGCCGTGCTCCTGTGGGGTCTGCCGTGCTCTTGTGGGGTCTGCCGTGCTCTTGTGTGGTCTGCCGTGCTCCTTTGTGGTCTGCCGTGCTCCTGTGTGGTCTGCCGTGCTCCTGTGTGGCCTGCCGTGCTCTTGTGTGGTCTGCCGTGCTCCTGTTGGTCTGCCGTGCTCTTCTATGGTCTGCCGTGCTCCTATGGGGTCTGCCGTGCTCCTGTGGGGTCTGCCGTGCTCATGTGTGGTCTGCCGTGCTCCTGCGCGGTCTGCCGTGCTCCTGTGGCGTCTGCCGTGCTCCTGTGTGGTCTGCCGTGCTCCTGTGGTCTGCCGTGCTCATTTGGGGTTTCCCGCGAGCTTGTGGGGTCTGCCGTGCTCCTGTGGGGGAAACGCCAGCGGCGTTCGGGGTACAACAAAAGGCGCGTTTATGTTGTACCTGCGCGCGGTCTGCCGTGCTCCTGTGGGGATTGCCGTGCTCCTGTGTGGTCTGCCGTGCTCCTGTGTGGTTTGCCGTGCTCCTGTGGTCTGCCGTGCTCCTTTGTGGTTTGCCGTGCTCCTGTGGGGTCTGCCGTGCTCCTGTGGGGTCTGCCGTGCTCCTGTGAGGTCTGCGGTGCTCTTGTGTGGTCTGCAGTGCTTCTGTGTCTGCCGTGCTCATTTGGGATCTGCCGTGCTCGTGTGGTGTCTGCCCTGCTCCTGCGGGATCTGCTGTGCTCCTTGTGTCGTCTCTTTGGTCTGCCGTGCTCGTGTGGGGTCTGCCGTGCTCCTGTGTGGTCTGCCGTGCTCCTGTGGTCTGCCGTGCTCCTTTGGGGTCTGCCGTGCTCCTGTGTGGACTGCCGTGCTCCTGTGGGGTTTGCCGTGATCCTGTGTGGTCTGCCGTGCTCCTGTGCGGTCTGCCGTGCTCTTGCGGGGTTTGCCGTGCTCCTGTCGGCTCTGCCGTGCTCGTTTTGGGTCTGCCGTGTTCCTGTTGGGTCTGCCGTGCTCTTGTGTGGTCTTCCGTGCTCCTGTGTGGTCTGCCGTGCTCCTTTGGGGTCTGCCGTATTCGTGTGGGGTCTGCCGGGCTCCTGTGTGGTCTGCCGTGTTCCCTTTGTGGTCTGCCGTGCTCCTGTGGAGTCTGCCGTGCTCCTGTGTGGTCTGCCGTGCTCCTTTTTTTCCGCCTGCCGTGCTCCTGCTCATTTTCTGAGGACGTCCCGAGCGAAAACGTCATTTTTAACATAAGAGGTTGTAAAACACCTCTGTCGGCATCTCATTTTTTCGAGGATGTCTCGAGCGAAACGCTCATTTTTCATGCACAACAAAAATCCTTGACATTTTTCAACACCCCGACTTTCTGAGGATGTCTCGAGCGAAACCGTCATTTTTAACATAAGACGTCTTAAACGATAGCCTCCAACACCTCGATTTTAGGAGGATGTCTCGGGCGAAATGGCCATTTTTGGGAACCTGACCGGACAAGAACGGGAAGCGCCGTTTTTTATCCACCACGTGCGTCAGAGACCGTATTGGCGAGAACGTCAGAGAAACCCATAAACGCAACAGAACAGACTAAATGGTGGCCTGCCGCGCTGGTCTGTCGAGGTAGTCTGCTGCCCTGGCCACATCATGGTGTCGACACCGTGCTTTTCTCTCGGCCACGCGGGCCCCCACCCGTTGTCGCCCAGCCTACTTTTTCTGTTCCAGCCTGTCTTGTCTTTTGTTTGTCCGTCGTCGTCGTCGCGTGCCTTTCCTTTGTCGTGGTCGTCGTTTTCATTATAATCGTCCGCTGTTGCCGTTCTCGCTGTCGCCGTCGTTATCATTTTATGATTGCGGTCGTTTTTCTGATTGTTTTTTTGTTGTTGGATTCCGTGTTCGGTTGGTTTTTGTGTTATGTTTGTGGTCGTTTTCTGTCATCGTTTTTTGTCGTAATTTTCGAGATCGTTATTGACGAAGACGACGACGACGACGATGACGACGACGACGATCTGCCGTGCTTCTGTGGCGTCTGCGGTGCTCCTGTGGTCTGCCGTGCTCCTTCTTGGTTTGCCGTGCTCCTGTGTGGTCTGCCGTGCTCCTGTGCGGTCTTCCGTGCTCCTGTGGTCTGCCGTGCTCCTTTGGGGTCTGCCGTGCTCCTGTGGAGTTTGCCGTGCGAACGTGTGGTCTGCCGTGCTCCTGTGTGGTCTGGCGTGCTCCTGTATGGTCTGCCGTGCTCTTGTGTGGTTTGCCGTGCTCCTGTGTGGTCTGCCGTGCTCCCGTGGGGTCTGCCGTGTCCTGTGTGGTCTGCCGTGCTCCTGTGTGGTCTGCCGTGCTCCTGTGTGGTCTGCCGTGCTCCTTCTTGGTCTGCCGTGCTCATGTGCGGTCTGCCGTGCTCCTGTGCGGTCTGCCGTGCGAACGTGTGGACTGCCGTGCTCATTTGGGGTCTGCCTTGCTCCTTTGTGGTTTGCCGCGCTCCTGTGTGGTCTGCCGTGCTCCTGTGTGGTCAGCAGACCCAGGGCTGAGGGAAGGCTGGAGCAGTGCTCTGGTGGTCCTTCACCCGCCCAGCTCCGTCCCCTCCCACTCTGGACCGATCTTGCGGGAAGCTGGCTTGTGGCAGCGCATCGCGCGTCGGCCGCCAGCCCAGGTGCCGGCCCGGGCGTTCGGTTCGAGCGCCGGCCTGGGTGCCGGAATCGGCCCGGAAGGGGTTCCAGGGCGCCGGGAGCAGAAAATCAATATTTTCGAAAGAAAAATATGTCTTGGAGTGGCCTTTTTTCCGCACCGCCTCGGAATTCAATTTTCCGGCGCCGGCCGGCGCCGGAACCGGCCCGGGCGCTGGCCCGGGTGCTGGCCCAGGCGTTCGGCTCGAGCGCCGGCCCGGGTGCCGGAAGCGGCCCGGAAGGGGTTCCCGGGCGCCGGGAGCAGAAAATCAATATTTTCGAAAGAAAAATATGTCTTGGAGTGGCCTTTTTTCGGCACCGCCTCGGAATTCAATTTTCCGGCGCCGGCCGGCGCCGGAACCGGCCCGGGCGCTGGCCCGGGTGCTGGCCCGGGCGTTTGGCTCGAGCGCCGGCCCGGGTGCCAGAAGCGGCCCGGAAGGGGTTCCCGGGCGCCGGGAGCAGAAAATCAATATTTTCGAAAGAAAAATATGTCTTGGAGTGGCCTTTTTTCGGCACCGCCTCGGAATTCAATTTTCCGGCGCCGGCCGGCGCCGGAACCGGCCCAGGCTGCCGTGCTCCTGTGTGGTCAGCCGTGCTCCTGAGGCGTCTACGGTGCTCTTTTGGGGTCTGCCGTACTCATTTGGGGTCTGCCGTGCTCCTGTGGTCGGCCGTGCTCATTTGGGGTCTGCCGCGCGCCTGTGAGATCTGCCGTGCTCCTGTTGGGGAAACGCCAGCGGCGTTCGGGGTACAACAAAAAGGCGCGTTTATGTTGTACCCGCGCGCGGTCTGCCGTGCTCCTGTGGGTTCCGCCGTGCTCCTGTGGCGTCTGCCGTGCTCCTGTGGCGTCTGCCGGGCTCCTGTGTGGTCTGCCGTGCTCCTTTGTGGTCTGCCGTGCTCCTGTGGAGTCTGCCGTGCTCCTGTGTGGTCTGCCGTGCTCTTGTGGTCTGCCGTGCTCATTTGGGATTTGCCGTGCTCATGTGGGGTCTGCCGTACTCCTGTGTGAGCTGTGAGCTGTGAGCTGCGGGGCCTATGAAGGCTGAAAGGAGCCCGAGGCCCACGGAGCCCGTTGGCCCCAGGGCCTCGAGGGCCAACCCAAGGGGCCTCAAAGGCGCCGCCCCAAGGGAAAGCGCGCAGCGCCAAACGCGCGAAGCGGCCGCTTCGGGCCAGCCTCCAGCACACCCACACGGGGGGCCACTTCGGGCCTCCCCGAGGGCAGGCCGCCAGGGCCAAAGGGGCGCCTAGGCCCCGGGGCCACGCGGGCGGGCAGTGCCGAGAGGCATGCAGAAGCAGCGAAGCTGCACCGAAGATCAAGCTGAAGGACAACACAGATCAACGGGTGCAACACGAAGCCCGCGTGCACATACAAGGATGCGAATGCACGCGGGAAAAAGAGGTGACGAGGGGCCGATACAACAGAGGGAGGAAGTGATGCTGCATCACCCCCCTTCGTCACCTGCAGCGCGGCGGCGTCTCTTGCGCCTGTCTTCGCGCGCCGTCTCAGCCGCGGCCGACCACTCGAGGAGGCTCGCTTCGTCGAGCCCGTAGGCGCTAAGCCACTCCTCCCTCGAAGTCCCCGAGGAGCCTGGCGCCAGGGGCTCAGCCTCCGCCTCGCCTGCAGCCGCCGCGCCGCTGGGGGGCTCTCGGCCGACGTCGGCGGCGACGCCGCCAGGTGCATCATCAGGACGGACACCCAGCCACTCCAGGAAGCGCACCCTGGCGGCCATCGGCACCACGTCCTCCTTGCGCAGGATGGGCACAGACGCACCGACCCTCCTGCTGCCGCTGTGGGGCGTGCCAGCAGGGTGCCGCCCCTGAAGCCAGCGCGCCTTCTGGTCCCTCCTGCCTTTGGGGAGCCCAGCCGACCCTGGGCACTGCTCCTTGAGCTTGGGCGCTGCCCCTGAGCGCCCGCCCAGCCGCGCGTGCGCCCCGCAGTGGGTGCACGCCATCAGCTCCTGCTCGGCGGCGCCCTCCCCGCACTTGGCGTAGGCCAGGACGTGGCCGACGACGACGAAGGCCGCCGCCCCGAGGGAGACGCCACCAGCCCGCGCCGCCGACGCCCACCCGCCGCCCGAGCCCGAGTCAGGCGGGCGGCTGTTGGCGGGCTCAACCAGAGGCACCGCGAAGGAGACGGCCGCCCGCTCGCTGCCCTCGGGGAGGCCCTCGCAGTCCTTGACCTCGATCCCCTGCCAGATGAGGGAGGCCTGCGCCACCCAGCACGAGAGCTCCCTCACCACCTCCATCGTGCCAAAAAACTCCCGCCTGGCCACTAGGCTGGTGCGGTGAAGCCCCGCCCCCGCCTTGGCCCAGCGGTCTGCATGTCCGTTGCCACGGAGGTCCGCCTCCGTGATCTTGCCATCCAACACGTCTCTGGCGGTGCAGTGGGCCGCAACCTTGGTCACCTTGAGCGTGTCCACGTCGAGCGACGCGTAGATCCCCTCCCAAAGGTGGGCGTTGGGCTTGTTGGCTGCCGTCGCGTACTTCTTGCCCAACGTGAGGCAGCTGACCGTGGACGCACAATCGATGAGGATCTCTTCGACACTCGGGCCCAGAAAGCGAGACAGCATCCAGACCGCGAAATCCTCGCCGTCCTTCGCCGTCTGGAACGGGCAGAGGTCCAGGCGCACGCTGCCGTACACGGCGCACTCCAGGTTGCCGTCGGAGTCGCACTGCACGATGCTCCATCCCGCACGCCGCAGGCTCTCGTGCTCGGGGTCGAGCGCCGACCCGTCCAGGTAGAGCCGCCCCCCGAGAAGACCATCGGCGGGGCGATTGCACCACATGACTGCCATGGCATCCGACCTTGGGGCGGCCCTCGGTGGCTGCGGGAGCCAGCAGCGCGCGAAACATTCACCCGCCTCTTCGCCACGCGCGCGTGCACGATGCGCACAGCGCAGAAGGCGGCAGGAGGTGGAGTCACGCCTGGCCCCCGCTAGGACGGGACACTCGAACAGCCTGTGCCAGAGGCTGCCACGGGGGGCCTCACAGGCACAGCAACGAGCGTGCTCCCTCTCCCCCGCCGAGTGCAGACGGGTCTGGGGCCAGTGGGCGTTGGAAAGGAAGCTCACCACCGCTGCCTTCTCCCTGTGGCTGAGCTTGCTGCCAGGCCCGAGGACCTCCGCGAAGGCCTCCCAGAACAAGGGCGACTGAGGGAGCGCCCCATGGCTGAGGCGGGCTAGCTCCGACTTGTCTGACGCACGCCGTGCCCCAGCCGCAGCCAGCAGGCCCAGCTCGCGCGGCCCCAGCATACGCAGGTCCAGGAGATGCCCGTCGTCAGTTGCGAGGCGGGCTCCAGGGACAAGCCTCCAGCCCACCCTGGAGAGCGAGAGGGCCAGGGCATCCACCGGCGTGCGGCAGTGCACCCAGGGGGCTGCTGCTCCAGCATGCCTCTGCACTGCCTCCTGCAAGGCCGACTCGAACATACGCAGCGGGACCTCCCCCGACTGTAGGAGGCTGGCCGCCATCTGCACAGCGGCACGGAGCAGCGCGGGGCTCGGGTCGAGGTCGATGGCCCTCATGATCTCCACCACCCTGAGTCTCAGCCCGAGCGAGGCGCCCTTGGGGAACTTCCCAGCTGAGCGCACCGCCGCCAGGCGCCACGAATGCAGCTCCCTATCAGGCACACCAGTCACAGTGCGCCCCCATAGCATCGCCGCGGTGGGCCCAGCACGATGGACCATCTCGGTGGCCGCGCCAGCTACGCGAAGCACCCCTAGCTTGCGTCCTCGGCGAAGGCCGCCGAACGCACGCCCAGCTCCTTCATGAACTCCTCGACGAGTGATGTTGGCGTCGGTGCCGAGGTTCCTCGCCTGAAGGCCCCTCTTGAAGGCAAAGCCGAGCGCCGCCCAAGCCTCGGAGAGCTCCTTGGCGAGCTGCGGCGACGAGGCCAGGAATACCGACTTACTCTCGTTGAGTGGGAGGTGCTGCTCACGCAGCTGACGGACAACCTCACAACTGGCAGCCACCATCTGCAGCTTCACAAGCCGAGCCGTGCCGACCGCCTGAAGCGAAATGTCGTCGACAACATTCCTTGGCGTGACCAGCGGGCTCGTTGCCCCCGCAGCCAGGAGAGCTCCCAGTACTGGAAGCTTCGCAACGGCTGTCGCACACGCACATCCAGCCAGCACCGTTCCCGTAGTGCCGAAGGCGGGGGAGGCCATGCCCGCCGCGAGGATCATCCTGGGGGCCTGGTAGGACGTGAGGAGGCCGCGCAGCAGCCTGAGGTTGAACCCGAACCGAACAGCATTCGCCCAGAGAACGTCGTGCCGCACGTGCTCGTAGAACTTGCTGATGTCCAGGAAGAGGCTCGCGGCCTCGAACTGCGGGTTCGACTTCGCGAACCCCGCGAAACAGTTGTGCAGCCAACCAGCCCTCTCACAGTCCCGCCCATCACGTCCCCAGAAGAAGGGGAAGTTGTGGTCAGCCTCCCATCGTGCACAGCACGGTTGGCGAAGGCGCGACCAGAGCCGCAGGACCAACGGCAGCAGCGCTATGGGCCTTACCCCACCGTCCGCCTTCGGAATGAACACCATCAGGGAAACCTGCCCTTGGATCGATGCAGGGGCCTCGTCGAAGGCCGCCAGGATGTCCAGGATGCGCAGCTGCAGCGCCACTGGCAGGAGGAGGATCTGCCTAGGATGCAGGGAATCGCACCCGAGGCCCACCGAGGGGCTGTAGCGTTTGCAGACTGCCTGGAGCTGCTCCAGCGAGATGGGGGGCAGCTGCCACTCGCCCACGTCCCAGCTGCTGGCCCCTGCGCCCGAGGCAAACCCGTCTTGGAGCCACAGCTTCTGCCAGACCCTCGTGAGTTCGCCAATCGCTGCCATGCCCACAAGCCTCCTGCCCGAGTCAGCGTCCCTGACCGTCGGCGGAGGCGTCGCCTTCGAGAAGCGGTGGGCAAGGCGACCGCCCTTCTCGACCGCAGTCTGGGCCCAGCTACGCCAGGCCTGGGCGCTTCGAGCCGCATCACGGCGCTGCGAAGCACTGAGCAGCACTTGGAGGTCCCGAACTGCCTCAGGGCTGCCGTGGACGCCCGCCTGGTGCACCAGGTCGCCCAACCGCTCAGGAGCAGCACCAGGGAGACCTTGACTGTCCGAGTCGTCCGCCTCCTGCACTGCCTCCAGCAGGAGCTGCGTCCTGAGCTCGGCCTGGTGCACGTACCATTCCGCATGCCGGGGGTGCCATCGGCGAGAGCTCTCCGCGCGAACTCGCTGGAGGGCCACATCCAGGCAGCTCCTTAGGCGGTGCGTGAGGAGGCTGAACCTGAACCTGGCGTCCCGCCTGACAAGGGCGCTGAGCGGCTTGAGGGACAGCCTCGGCCCTTCTCCTCTGCCGAGATGGCGGGCCAGGTCAGCCTGGCCGATGCCGTGGATGCCGACCAGGGTGCCTTCTGCAGCTGCCACCCACTCGCCGAAGGCAACGGAGAGGTTGGTCGGCGTAGAGCCCGCTTCCCAGGACCAAGAGACCTCCCTGGACGCGACCAGCCCCTTCTTGCCAACCGAGTACCGCACAACCTCCGCGTCCTCGTGTGCCCGAAGGAGCTCAGGGGCTACCTCGGGGAAGCGGGCGGGCCTGGACGGGACCTCGACCAACGCATCCGCCCGAACATCCTGAAGGCGAAGCAGGACAGGGCGATGAGGGTGCAGACCAAACCCCTCGAGCGTGGTGGCACAGGAGGCCGTGCAGGCAGCCAACGCCGCAGAAGCCACGAACCAGTCGTAGAGGTGGTCACAGCCCTCAGCATGGCACGTCGCCTCCGAGGGCCCCAGGACGTGCCCCCGCACTGCCGCGGGCCACCCCAGCTCCTCCAGGGGCTCGGGCTCCATGTTGAAGTCCGCTTGGAGGACCCGCGGGATGTCCGCATAGGAGCCCGTCACCTCTGAGATGGCCGAGAACATGTCGAGGTTGGTGCCTCGAGGGCCCAGGGAGTGCTGGAAGTAACCAGCGAGCACGAGAAGCCGAAGGCCCGAAGCTGCGGCAATCTCCACTCCGATGAGGCGGTGCCGCAACGCCGAGGGCAGCGGGGCCGCGGACTCGTCGGCCTGCAAGCCATCCCGCACCAGGATCGCCACGCCGCCTGAGGTCGCCAGGGGCCCCTGCTTCTCCGTCACTACTGCAGCGTGCAGAAAGGCCGCGTATCCCAGGCCACGGGCCTGAGCCGCTGCGCTGGGCAGGCGATCATGCGGGAGCCTCGTCTCCTGCAGCGCCACCACGTCGGGCCAGTAGTCATACGCCTTGGAGAAGGCTTCAAGAACCTCAATGCTCCTGCTCCAAGTATTGCCATTGCAGCCGAGCAAGACGAGGCCAGCTCGGAGCTGCTGGCCTCCTGCCCTGCCTGCCAGCGGCGCCCTGCCGATGACGGCGGCCTCGCGAGCCGCTCTCATCTCAGCGCCAAGCGCCCTGCACGCCGAGGCCCTGGTCGCGGGGCCCTCCGCCCCCACCAGGACTGGAGGGGGGGCCTGGCCCCACGCTCCAGCGCTCCTAGACGGCATCGGCGGGATGCTCGCCTGCACGGGAGGTGGCCACCGCTGGGAGGGCGGCCGACCCTCCGCCCCTCCGGTAGCGAGCGGGAGGTGCGCCTGCCCTTCACCAACGGGGCCGAGAGCTGCGACGGCGTGGGGCTGAATCCCACCGCTCTCGGCCCCTGACTGGCCGTCGGGGGGCCACCTCGGTGTTCCCGACCGCGCCAGCTGGCTACTTCGGGCAAGGCCCTTGGGCGCCGCCCGCCGCCTGCGAGGGAGTCTGACGCGCCAGCGTCCGTCGCAGCGCCTCCTCCACTTGTCCCAGCAGCTGGGCCTGCGAACTGTGGGGGCATGCCGCTCCAGCCCTCCTGCGTCACCCACGGCGCGGCCCGTACCCTGCAGCAGGAGCAACAGCAGCAGCCGCAGCCACCAGGGGGTCGCCGTCCGAAATGGCCGCCCCTTCCTCGGCGAGGGCCTTGGCGAGGCAGGGCTCCACCTGAGGCCATGCTCCCAGAGTCGCTCCGTGCTGGCCACGGGCCGCTGCGGGCCCATAGGGGCCGCCCGCCGACCTGGCCCGTGGGGCGGGCGGCCCAGCCGCGGGCTGCCCCGTCCGCGGGGCGCCGGGGGAGGGGGCGGCCACGGGCACACCTGAGGACACGATGTCGAGCGGCATGTCGTCGTCCTCCGTCGCGAGGCCGTCGTCGCCAACGCAGTCGCCCCAGCGCTTCCTGGCCAAGCTGCTGCTGGGCCTGAGCGCGTCAGCGACCGCCTCCTTCTGCGTGTTGAGAATGTCGACGATCTCCGAGAACCTGGGGGGCAGCTCAGCCCCGTGCTGCTTGAGGAGGTCCGACAGGGCCCCAACCTGAGTGAGCAGCCCCTGGACCGCGTCTCCGAGCGGGCACGGCGCCCCACCGACCGCCGCGTTGGCCCTCTGGATCGCCTGCTGCGTGACCTTGGCCTTGGTCTCCTCCAGCTCAGCAATCTGCCCAGTGACTTCGTCAACTCCCAACTGAGCCGCCGACAGCTGCTCCTGCTTCTCCGCGATGAGGTCACGCAGCTCGTCCGCCTGCAGCTGGAGCTTCTCCCTCTTGGTGCGGGCATTGGCCAGCTGACGCTCGACCTTCTGGATGGCGTTGGCCTCGATGTGGAAGACCGAGTGGGGCGGGCGCCCCGTCCGCTGGGCCTCCTGGGCCGACTGCTCGAGGGCGGCGACCTGGTCCCTGCCCTGCTGGAGGGCCTTCTCCGCCTCTCGCTGGAAGTCCTCCGAGAGCCCGAGCTCGGCGGCCGCCTGGAGCTTGCCGACCCGCTCTTTGGCCGCCGCGAGCTGCACCTGGAGCTCATCGGGCTGGGACTTGGCCTCTCCCCAGGAACGCTCACGCCGAGTCCTGCTGTTGGGGGAGCTGCTGGGTGCCGTGCTCCCAGAGAGGGCCCGTTGGGAGGCGGAGCGCCGCGCAGCGCGTTGGCCGGCCCTTCCCCTGGGCTGCTGCACGAACCCGTCGGCGTCCACCCGAGGGGAGACCTTGTCGGAGCGATACTCCTTCGTCCATGGGGGAGCACTGGTGCCGCACTCCTTGCACGTCCAGCGCCTGTCGCACCAGTTCCAAGCGTTGCAGCCACGCTTAGCACACAACCAGTAAGCCCTCCGAGCGAGCCCCGAGGCAACCTCCGACATGGCGGCACACCGAGGGACAGGCCGCAGTTTGGCCGCGAGACTCGGCCCTGCAGGAACGAAGAAGCACAAAATTGGCGAAGCTTCTGGCTCTTGGCAGGGCGCCCCTCGCGCTCAAGAACGCCCGACGGACTCGCGGTCGTCGGGTGCGCCATGGCCTTGAGCCAAAATGGCTACGGACCGTACTCCTGTGTGGTCTGCCGTGCTCCGGTGGTCTGCCGTGCTCCTTTGGGGTCTGCCTTGCTACTGTGGGGTCTGCCGTGCTCCTGTGTGGTCTGCCGTGCTCCTGTGGTTTGCCTTGCTCCTGTGTGGTCTGCCGTGCTCCTTTTGGGTCTGCTCTGCCGTGCTCCTGTGGGGTCTGCCGTGCTCCTGTGGGGTCTGCCGTGCTCTTGTGGGGTCTGCCGTGCTCTTGTGTGGTCTGCCGTGCTCCTTTGTGGTCTGCCGTGCTCCTGTGTGGTCTGCCGTGCTCCTGTGTGGCCTGCCGTGCTCTTGTGTGGTCTGCCGTGCTCCTGTTGGTCTGCCGTGCTCTTCTGTGGTCTGCCGTGCTCCTATGGGGTCTGCCGTTGTTCGGCCGTCTTGAGGGCACTCTTAGGGCATAGTCTGCCGTGCTCCTCGTCTTGGTCTGCCGTGCTCCTCGTCTTGGTCATCCTTTCCGTCGTCTTGAGGGCGCTCTTGGTGCCTGGTCTGCCGTGCTCCTCGTCTTGGTCTGCCGTGCTCCTCTCGGTTCCTAAGCCTGGTCTGCCGTGCTCCTCGTCTTGGTCTGCCGTGCTCCTCTCGGTTCCTACGCGCGGTCTGCCGTGCTCCTGTGGGGAGCACGGCAGACCACAGGAGCACGGCAGACCACACAGGAGCACGGCAGACCACACCTCGATTTTTTGAGGATGTCTCGAGCGAAATGGCCGTGGTCTGCCGTGCTCCACACAGGAGCACGGCAGACCACCTGCTCATTTTCTGAGGACGTCCCGAGCGAAAACGTCATTTTTAACATAAGAGGTTGTAAAACACCTCTGTCGGCATCTCATTTTTTCGAGGATGTCTCGAGCGAAACGCTCATTTTTCATGCATAACAAAAATTTTTGATATTTTTCAACATCCCGATTTTTTGAGGATGTCTCGAGCGAAACCGTCATTTTTAACATAAGACGTCTTAAACGATAGCCTCCAACACCTCGATTTTTCGAGGATGTCTCGAGCGAAATGGCCATTTTGGGGCTGTGCGGTCTGCCGTGCGAACGTGTGGACTGCCGTGCTCATGTGGGGTCTGCCTTGCTCCTTTGTGGTTTGCACGGCAGACCATACAGGAGCACGCCAAACCACACAGGAGCACGGCAGACCACACGTTCGCACGGCAAACTCCACAGGAGCACGGCAGACACCAAAGAAGCACGGCAGTGGTGTTGCTGGTTTGGTCCCCTCGGGATACCGCATTGACGTGTTGCTGGTTTGCCCCCCCCAGGATACCTTCTTGACGTGTTGCTGGTTTGTCCCCTCAGCACCTTCTTGACGTGTTGCTGGTTTGCCCCCTCAGGATGACTTCTTGGCGAGTGGCTGGTTTTGCCTCAGGGTAACTTATTGAAGTGTTGGTGGTCGACCACCTCAGCACCTTCTTGGCGTGTTGCTCGTTTGCCCCCCTCAGGATAACCTTTGACGTGTTGCTGGTTTGCCCCGTCAGGATAACTTCTTCACGTGTTGCTGGTTTGCCCCCCTCAGCATCTTTTGGACCTGTGGCTGGTTTGCCCCCTCAGGATAACTTCTTGACGTGTTGCTGGTTTGCCCCCCCCAGGATAACTTCTTGACGTGTTGCTGGTTTGCCCCCCAGGATAACTTCTTGACGTGTTGCTGGTTTGCCCCCCTCAGCACCTTCTTGACGTGTTGCTGGTTTGCCCCTTCGGGATAACTTCTTGACGTGTTGCTCCTGTGGGGTCTGCCGTGCTCCTGTGGGGTCTGCCGTGCTCCTGTGAGGTCTGCGGTGCTCTTGTGTGGTCTGCAGTGCTTCTGTGTCTGCCGTGCTCATTTGGGATCTGCCGTGCTCGTGTGGTGTCTGCCCTGCTCCTGCGGGATCTGCTGTGCTCCTTGTGTCGTCTCTTTGGTCTGCCGTGCTCGTGTGGGGTCTGCCGTGCTCCTGTGTGGTCTGCCGTGCTCCTGTGGTCTGCCGTGCTCCTTACTGCCGTGCTCCTGTGGGGTTTGCCGTGATCCTGTGTGGTCTGCCGTGCTCCTGTGCGGTCTGCCGTGCTCTTGCGGGGTTTGCCGTGCTCCTGTCGGCTCTGCCGTGCTCGTTTTGGGTCTGCCGTGTTCCTGTTGGGTCTGCCGTGCTCTTGTGTGGTCTTCCGTGCTCCTGTGTGGTCTGCCGTGCTCCTTTGGGGTCTGCCGTATTCGTGTGGGGTCTGCCGGGCTCCTGTGTGGTCTGCCGTGTTCCCTTTGTGGTCTGCCGTGCTCCTGTGGAGTCTGCCGT